CGATTCCGGCGGATGTTCGATCTTCGGACGCTTCCCATCAATTTCGTCATTCGGAGGCGTTTTTTGGGCGCCCCGAGTGTGACATATCTAATGGTCTGCAGTTCACCCTGCCCTCGTAGCTGATATTCTTCGAAGCCGAAGCGGAGGACTCAAAATGTCCGTTCGGCCGTCTCGTTTGGGCCTCTTGCAGCGGTTATGGGGGTTTCTGGACTCGTTTTGGAGGCGTCTGCGGCCCTCCGGAAGGCCTCTGGAGTCATTTCGGGGTCATCTCGAGGCGTCTTCGGCGTTTCGGGGCGTGTATGGGGGCATTTGCGGCCGTTCTGGTTCGTCGGGTAAACGAAAAAGCCAGAACGCCAAAATCATTTGAAAATTTGGCGACTTCCGCTGCGGGTGTTTTTGTTTGGGGGCCTCATTGGGAACCTTTTCGGTCGTCATGGTCTTGGTGGGCCGTCTGACGGCCACCCTGAGCGTTGGAATCCATTTTCCGGGATTTCGGGTGCTTGGATTGCCTTGGGGGCCTCGTCAGGCTCCTTCGCCCGTCCTGACGCCCTCTCTGCCCCCATGATGCGTTCGCGGTGGGATCGCTCTGGCTGGTAGGGGGGTTCCCGAGGGGGGGGGCACGGGGGGGGGGCAGAATCTCACACGTCGACGGACCTACCAAGGGTCGGCGGACCTTTGACGACCACCGACGACGGCGACGGCGGCGAAGAGGGACCACCATCCTCGGGCTTGCCCTCGGATGATGATGATGATGATGATGATGATGATGATGATGATGATGATGATGATGATGATGATGATGATGATGATGATGATGATGATGATGATGATGATGATGATGATGATGATGATGATGATGATGATGATGATGATGATGATGATGATGAGGATGATGATGAGGATGAGGATGAGGATGAGGATAGGATGGGATGAGGATGAGGATGAGGAGAGGATGAGGTGAGGATGAGGATGAGGATGAGGATGAGGATGAGGATGAGGATGAGGATGAGGAGGATGAGGGTGAGGGTGAGGAGGAGGGTGAGGAGGAGGGAGGAGGAGGAGGAGGATGAGGATGAGGATGAGGAGAGGATGGGATGATGGATGAGGATGAGGATGAGGATGAGGATAGAGGAGGATGAGAGGATGAGGATGATGAGGATGAGGAGGATGACGAAGATGTGGATGAGCATGAGGATGAGGATGAGGATGAGGATGAGGAAGAGGAGGAGGAGAAGGAGGAGTAGGAGGAGGAGGAGGAGGAGGAGGAGGAGGATGAGGACGAGGACGAGGATGAGGAGGAGGAGGAGGAGGAGGACGAGGACGAGAATGAGGATGATGAGGATGAAGCGAGGATGAGGATGAGGATGAGGATGAGGATGAGGGTGAGGAGGAGGAGGAGGCGGAATAGGAGGACGAGGACGAGGACGAGGACGAGGAGGATGAGGATGAGGATGAGGATGAGAATGAGGATGAGGATGAGGATGATAATGAGAAGGTGGACGAGGACGAGGATGAGGTTGAGGATGAGGATGAGGATGATGAGGATGAGGATGAGGATGAGGATGAGGATGAGGATGAGGATGATGAGGATGAGGATGAGGATGACGAAGAGGATAATGAGGATGAGGATGATGATGCTGCTGGTGATGATGATGATGATGATGATGATGATGATGATGATGATGATGATGATGATGATGATGATGATGATGATGATGATGATGATGATGATGATGATGATGATGATGATGATGGTGGTGGTGGTGGTGGTGGTGGTGGTGGTGGTGGTGGTGGTGATGATGATGATGATGATGATGATGATGATGATGATGATGATGACGACGAAGCTTCTGCTGCACCTCCTCATCCGAGCTATTATCCCCCCATTCCTCTCTTCATCCTTCTCCCTACTCTCCTCATCCTTTTCCCTTTCCCGCTTCCTCCGCACTCCGCTTCTTCCTTCCTGCTCTTCCCCCAGGCGTCCGTTGGCCCCATCTGTTCGAGTCGCGGGCTCCTGGATTTCTCGGCCTCTTTCTCATTCCGAGAGGAGGGTCAGACGCGGTGGGGGTGTGATGGGGGTCAGGGTGAGTTCTGAGCGAGAAATTGTCGGGTGGGGGGTCCCAAGAACAAGGTGGCCAGGACCAGGGGGGGAGGTCAGACGCGGTGGGGGTCGTGGTAGGGGTCAGGGTGAGTTCTGGGCAAGAAATTGTCGGGTGGGGGGTCCCAAGAACAAGGTTGCCAGGACGGGGGGGGAGGTCAGATGCGGTGGGGAGCGTGGTGGGGGTCAGGGTGAGTTTTGGGCGAAAAATTGTCGAGTGGGGGTCCCAAGATTAAGGTGGCCAGGAAGGGCGAGGGGGGGGAGGGGCGTCAGACGCGGCGGGGGGCGTGGTGGGAAGCCAAGGTTACGTCTGCAGGAGAAATTGTCGGGTGTGGGTCCCAAGAACAAGGTGGAACGCGGTGGGCGGGGGGGAGGGGAGGGCGTGGAGACCAGGGCGCCATCGACCGGGCCCTGGGGGCCGTGGAGGGCCCAGTGGGCCTGCTGGCCAGCGGGGCCCCTTGCGCGCATGAGGCGGCGCTCGCGCACGCCAAGAACCAGCGCGCCATCGGCCAGGCCCCAGGGGCCGTGGAGGGCCTGGTAGGCTGGCTGGCCGGCGGCGCCTCTGGCACGCAGGAGCTGGCGGCGCTCGCTCTGGCCAACTTGGCCGCGAAGGACACCGAAAACAAGCGCGTCATCGGCCGGGCCCCAGGGGCCGTGGAGGGCCTGTTGGGCCTGCTGCCCGCTGTCGAGGAGGAGTCGCTCGCGGTCGCGGTGGCGGTCTCGGCTGGCCGACGGTCTGCGGTCGCGCTGGCCAACTTGGCCTTGAACGATGCCGAGAACCAGGCCGCCATCTTCGCGGCCGGCGTCGAGTGCCACGCGGGGACGCCGAGGAACAGCGGGGGCGGGAGGCACCTGCTGCATGCGCTGCGCAGTTCGAGTGGGGGGTGTCTGCTGCAGTAACTCGGGCGCCGCCACCCCGGCCGTCGGCTCAGAGCACAATCACGTGAGGCGCCGCGCCCCAGCCGCGCCGCCGGGCGGCCGCGCCCCGCTCGGGCTCCAGGCGCCGAGGCGACGCGCCACCCCGGCTGCGCGGCCAGGCCACCGGGATCGCCGCGCCCCCCCGCTCCGACGGGAGGCAGCGCCCTGCCCCAGCGGCGCAGCCGCCGCGTCGGCCCTGGGGCTTGGGGGCTTCTTTGGCCGTCTTGGGGCCCTTTGGGCCGTCGTGGAACCCTCTTGTGAGCTGCTTGCATCTTGGACGTCGTGAAATCCAAAGAAGCGGACATGCTAGAAATGCATGTTATCCCAAGGGAACGGGACTATGTTTGTTTCTTTGGGCCCTCTTGGGGGGCCTGTTGGAGGCTGCTCGGGGGCATTGTGGGCTGTCTGGAGGCCACCTCTGGCGTCTTCGAGCGATCTTTCGGCGACTGGGCTTCGTGAGCCGTCTTAAAGGCCTCTTTGGGCCCTCTTGGCCCGCTGTAGGGCCCTCTATGCCCCCATGGCGCGCTCGTGCCAGGGGCTACCCGTTGCCATGCGGGGGGTCACATTGCCAGTTTGGGGTCCTTGGGGGGGATAGTGGGGGGAGAAGAATTTCACGCACCAAGAGACCGACACGGGGTCGGCGGACTCCACATTCAGATTCTGGTAACGACCACGATTGATATGATGATAATAGGCAACGTTTGCTCCTCAGGATCTTGCCGTCGAGATGTCTGGGCTGTCGAACCGCACGCGTTAGCGGTGAGTCGAAGACCAGAGTCGCGCGACGCCTTCCTCTGCCAATGCTGGTGATACCCCCCGGCCTCGTGACTGGTGTTAATGACGCGGGCCCCTGCAGGTCTGGACCCCTTCCCTGGCATCGGCGTTTCCCATCCCGAGCTTGGTAAGGGTCCCCAGAGGCCGAGAATATCCCAGCACATATTGATGCAATCACGACGTGAGGGGGCGTTGAATTCTGAGATACATTATTTGCCCCTGGCCCTCTTCAGGGGTGCGTTCTGACCAGATTTGTGAGGCGGATCCGGCCGTGTCGACGAGAATCTTCCCAGACCCCCGGCCCAAAAAAGAAGCGTCCAGAAGTTCCGGGTCCCTATCCTGGAACTTTGGACGCTCGATTCCTCGGAGGGGTGTCTCCCTCTCTTCCGCTCCCTCTCCCTCTCCCTGCTTGGGCCGCAGACTACCTCGGGGGTGGCCCGGGGGCGCGAAGATAACCGCGCATCGCGGGGCGCGAGGCGCATGGTAAGGTGACCTACAGGCCTCGGAACAAAAATAGCGAACACTCCTGCCACATTCATCTGTCAACGCCCCCCCCTCCCCCCAATGTTCAAAGTTGGCGGTGGGTCTGATGAGTTGCACCTCGACCGCAGTCTCCCCCGCGCGTGCCAACTTTGAGTTTGGGGGGCAGAGGGGTGTTCACTAAATGTTCCCCTCTACAGTAGGATCCTCGCAGGTTTCCAAATGCGGAGGCGTCGCTCCCTGCGGGCGCCGCAGGCCACCTTGCAACTGGTGTCGTGGCGACGAGAAGCCTCCCGGAGACCCCCCTAAAGGGGAAGACCGTCAGAAACTTCGGGCCTCGAGCCTCGAACCTCGATTCCTCGGGGGGAGGCATCTCTCTTCCTGCCGGCGCCGCAGGCTGCCTGGAGCACAGCAATTGTTGCGTCGACTTCGCGCAGTCCTGCGCTTCCATGCAGTCATGGCCAGAGGCTCTACAGCAGGGAGGGCGAGTGGACTTCGAAAGGAGCGGCGCCGACGACGACGACGACGACGACGCCGACGACGACGACGACGACGAGGACGACGGCTTTTTCTTCGCTTCCGAGGATTGGGGCGTTTTGGGAGGCTCCCGTCACCACGGCTGGACCGCAGCTCGAACAACTGGCCAGGATGGACCCCTGGAGGGGGTAGGGGGGACCGATGTTGACCAGCTCTGAGCCGTGTGTCTTGCACAGGCACCGATGTTGACGCTTTCTCTTTGTCATCGCCGTTTTGGGCCTCCTGGGGGGCCGCCGTCGCCGCCCTGGTCAGACCGCGCCTCAGCGAGGTCCTGGGATTGGCGGTATTGGTGTTTTCGTTTGCCCAGCAGGAGTGCGGAGCGGAGGAGCAGACAGACCCCAGACCTCCAGCGGATTGTTTCTGCGGTTTCCAAGCGTTTCTCTTCACTTTCGGTCTCCAGGGGCCGTTTCTGGTCCATGGGCCCAGCAGAGATCAATCGAGGAGAAAGAAGAATAACAACCATAATGATGACGTAGCAACCCGCAGATGCGGATAAGAGTGAGGGGGCGGTGGGGGCGTCGGCAGTCTGCGAGTCTCTGGAGACGCCCGCCGCAGGCGCCAAAATTTCACAAATCGTACAACGAGCCCGCCGCAAGCGCCGATTTTTTCTTCAAACCAATGTGGCTCGGTCGTGGGTGGGTCGCGGGTGGGTCGCGGGTGGGTCGCGGATGGGTCGCGGGGTGGGTCGCGGGTGGGTCGCGGGGTGGGTCGCGGGTGGGTCGCGGGGTGGGTCGGGGGTGGGTCGCGGGGTGGGTCGCGGGTGGGTCGCGGATGGGGCGCGGGGTGGGTCGCGGGTGGGTCGCGGGGTTGGTCGCGGGGTGGGTCGCGAGGTGGGTCGCGGGGTGGGTCGCGAGTGGGTCGCGGGGGAGACGACGATAACAAACAACCACAACAACAACCACAACAACAACAACAACAACAACAACAACAACAACAACAACAACAACAGCAGCAACAACAACAACAATGAGTTTAAAACTGTTCGCCCTTATATGCTCGAGTGTCAAATAACGCGTGTTTCCCAAACTCTCGATACCCGCCCTCTTCGTCTTCGATCGAACCCCTTTTGGGGGGTATGCCTTTCTCGCCTGCAGGCCGGGCCCCGGCAAGCGGCGGGGCGGCCGCGGACCGTCGGCCTGGCCAGCGGCAGCGCTGATCGGCGGGGCGGCCGCGGTCCGTCGACCCGACCCCAAGAGGGACGGACAGGGGACCGACCACGACGACGACGACGACGACGTCGAAGACGACGGCGACGACGACGACGACGACGACGACGGCGACGACGAGCGAAAGCGAGAGCGAGAGAAAACGACAGCAGGGCCACGAAGGGCACGAAGTAGGCCACGAAGGGCGACAGCGGGGACACGAAGGGAATGCGTATGGGGCCACGAAGAGCGCGAACGAGCGGGGGCCACGAAGTGCAGATAATGCGGGGCCACAGAAGACAACTTTGGGGCCACTGAGGGTAGCAACTGGGCCACGTAGGACAGTGAGGGGGACACAAATAGCACCAGCGGGGCCACGAAGGGCATGCACATGGGGCCACAACGGCGCGACTCCTGGGTGCCTGGGTGTCGGGAGCGCGGCGCTTGGACAAATAGCAGGAAATTCCAACGCATTGCCATTCTTCAGTAAGTTGCAAGCAAGTCTCCAGCGAGAGCGCGACTCCAGAGCGCCGGGAGAGCGATTCCTGAATACATTGTAAGGAAGTCCCAACCGAGAGCGCGATTCCTGAATAAAATGCGAGGAAGTCTCGGGTGGGAGCGGGGGTCCTGGCTAAATTGTAAGGAAGTGTCAGGCAGGAGCCGTTGTTGTTGTAACCCGTGGGCCAGGGGCCCAGTTTGAGCATCAAGACTTTCCCTGCCAAAAAACAGGGTGCGAGCGTCGAGGTGCACACTTTGATTGAGAAAAAACAGTATGCACCGGTGGGGGGGGTCAGCAATAATTATTCTTCAGAAGTGAGAATTCAACAGCAGCAACAACAGCAACAGCAACAGCAACAACGCAACAAACATAATCGTCACCACGGATTTTCACTTCAGCCACGCACCCAAGGACAATGAATGACCGTTCGGCCCCCTCACTCTGATAATACTAGTAATATGAATAGGATGATACATGACAGTATTAATATGAAGAATACTATGAAGAACAAGCTGTCTGGGGGAGGGAGTCGAGGTCTTTGGGACCCGCGGAACGACGAAATGACGACGTCGAAGGTCTGAGAGTTCAAGAGGAGCGAGAGTGCGGAGCGGATGGGAGGAGGGGAGACGTGCGCGAGATGAGGTGGAGAGGTGTGGCGAGAGGCATGGATTTACCATTGCTTTTTGTATGATGTTGGGAATGCTCTGTTCTTCAGTCTTCCAGGCGCCCGAGACCGCCCAGGAGGCCCGAAAATGTCCCAGAACTATCCAAAAATGCTTCCAGGCAGTCCAAGAGAGCCTCAAGACGGCCCAACAGGGAAGATGGCCCGAAGAGGACCCCATGACGGCCCAAGGTGGCTTCGAGACGACCCCCGAAGCATTCCACATCGTGACCTGGTCGTTCAGGGAGACAGCGGTTGGAAGCAGGGTGCCCCGAGGAAGCCCCCAGGGGCCGCCAGAAGGCGCCCATGAGGTCGTCCAGGAGGCCCCAAGAGGCTCTCCAAGGAGGAACCTCCGCAAAAAGAGCTGACAAGGATTTAGAATACTTCGCAGAGTAGGGCGAGAATGAGGAAGATGAAGAGGAAAGATGATGAACGGATGCTGAAAACCATTACGTGTCAGAACGACGATGGCGGAAAAGGCAACAAAGAGCTAGCGCCAGAGATTCTGATTTGACTTCCTGCACTTTCGCCTCCATGCCAAACTCCAAGGACCAAGATGCACGGCGCGAAGGGCCAATGCAGTCTTGCGCGCATACACATGTACCGGAGGCTGGGGGCGAGATTGTAGTGGCACGGAGAGCCCCCCACCTGGAAGTCGGTTTCGGTCTCGTGTCCGTGTCGCGCGTGCGGGCGAGGCGAAGCTGCGTGGGCGCCCGCATGGCCCTGCCGTCGCCAGGGCGATTCGGGTGCAGTGAACCGCCCCTCCGCCCCCTGGTGGGCGCGCGGTGGTCCGGGGTGTCCCGCCGTGGTCTCCTGTGGTGTCTCGTTGGTGTCCCGTTGGTGTCCCGTCGGTGTTCCGTCGGCTGTGGGCGGGCGGTGGCCGGGGGTGTCCCGCCCTGGCATCGATAGTGAAGTCGATAGTGAGATCGAGATTGAGATCGTCAAATTGGGATGGATAGTGAGATCAAAAGTGAGATCGGCCTTGAGATTGTTTGTGACATTGGTTGTGAGATCGGGAGTGAAGTCGATAGTGAGATCGATAAAGGAATCGATAGTGAGATCGATGGTGATATCGATAGTGAGATCGATCGAGTGTGATCGATACTGTGAGGTCGATAGTGGGATCGATCGAGTAAGATTGAAAGCGGGATCTATAGTGAGATTTATAGTGAGATCGATGGCGAGATTGATAGTGCGATCGATCGAGTGTGATCGATATTGTGAGGTCGATAGTGGGATCTATCGAGTGAGATCGAAAGCTCACCACCCACCAAACCACCCCAACCCAACCCGAAGGCTTCAATGTGCCTTCCATTTCCAGTGTGGGGGGGGTCGGGGAACACTGTAAAGACGCACGGGACCTGTTACCCCCCCCCAACCCGAAATTCGAGTCAAATTCGGGTCTTCGGGTTGGGTTGGGGTGGTCTGGTAGGTAGCCCAAAGCGGCGACGATAGTGGCATCACATCGCAGCGCAACATCGTCATCACGCGTCGTCGCTAACTCGAGGGTGCGTCACCAGCATCGTCATTATCAGACCCATCGCATTTGCCAGCAGTTGGTTCTTTCCCCCCACCCCCTAACCTCCTTATCACCCGAAGGGTGGTCGTATGGGTACACAGATGTATCTATTTGTTGGGGTATCTCTCTCTCTCTCTGCCTTCGGCCCCCGGACGGCTGCCTCCGAGGGAGAGGGCCCGCCGAGGGTCTCACCGTCAGCCCACGCAGTCAGGAGAGAGAGCGCGGGCCTCCAGGCCTCCGTGGCCGGTGCGCTCGCGGCGCGCGGGCTCCTGGCCGAGGCATTGCGGTGGGTGTGGGGCCAGGGGAGGCGCCTGGCGCAGACGCTGCTCGATCTGTGCCGCTGCCCGAGCCGATGGTCGACGCCAGTGCTGCAGCCCTGTCGCAGGAGCGCGGGGTGTTTCGGAGCAGGGTCAGTCGAGCTCAGAGGAGCGTGATCAGGTGCACCGTTGCCGGGCGAGTAGCATGGCGGCGCCAGCAGTTTCGTCGGGGCGGACAAGAAGCATAGGGTGACAAAGAGAGGCGTGAGCCATGACTGGTCGTTTTTTTAGCAGGAGGAGGAGGAGAGGAGGAGGCAGAAGGAGGAGGAAGGAGGAAGGAGGAAGGAGGAAGGAGGAGGAGGAGAAGGACAAGGAGGAGGAGGAGGAGGAGGAGGAGGAGGAGGAGGAGGAGGAGGAGGAGAGAGGAGGGGCTGCTGTGAGCAGACGAGATCCCACGGGCATGGAACACCAGTTTGGATCGGCAGTGCGAGAGCACCATTGTGCGTATCGCCACGAGTTTGACCGAGCGTTGTAAGGAAAGCTTAGGCGAGATGTTGGTAATGCTGTTTCATGTGCGTGCGTGGCGCTTCTCTGCGCGCAGGTAGCTTCGGGATGATGCTGCTGCTGTTCTCATCCGGGGTTCTCCGTCATCTTGCCTTCTGGCTTGGTGCGTGCTGCATCGGTCTCACACACCCCTTTTGAGCCCGTAAAGCCACCATGCCAGTGCCCTCTTCTCTTGATTCAGTTCTAATCATCCCCCAATTTCTGGCACCCAGACTTGGATACAGTCAAAATGTGTGCGCCTGCTAACGCGCATTGAGAAGCGCGAGAGTAGTGCACTTCCACCCGACCCGCGTGGCCACCGACGCACGTGGAGCTGATGAGGATGGGGCTGAAGGCCAGGATTTGCACAGGTCGCGCCCTCCGAAGCGAGACACACGTGAACCCAAATGCATCGCCACCTGTGCGCAGTGCCCTTCGCCATCCCAGAGCAAAACAAAAACGATCCCCCCACATCGAGAACCAGACCGCCCGACTTCCTCTGATCACTGCGGCAAGTGCGAGGAGCCCGCGACACGCGCTGAGAGATGTGCGAAGCCCGGGGGAGCGCCCATGCTGCTTGGGGGCACGAGGATCTCCGCGCCGCGGCGCCGCTTCCGAGAAACGGGTGGAGCACGGCAACAGGATGCGTGAGGCTCCCCCCCCCAGCACAACCAGGGGGCACGGAGCCCGCGGGGGCACGCACAGCCCGCGGTGACCATTGGAGTGAAGGGGGGAGTTGCAGGCGCACCGTACAGGGCACCCTTTGACCCCGACGAGGCGCTGGTAAGAGCCACCCGCGCGCCCGAGGTGCACCGGGAGCTGTGCCGAAGCTGTCAGTCCGACCAGGGTTTTGAAAACACGAGTAGCTACGAAGGCATCATCGCACGACACCCCAGTGCGCAGTGGAATCATTACCGCGGTGATCACATACCGAGGCGCTGAATCAAACCTCAGAGTCGTGGGGAAGCGATCAATCAAATCGATGATCTGAAGAATAAGTTTGAGTCCCCAACTCCAGCACAATGAGACGTAGCAGAATAATGAGCGTTTCGAAGACGACGCGCAACAAAACATTAGCAAGGCAAGGGACACTATCATGTGTAGTTGTGGGCACCGCACGGCAAGGGACGAATGAGGATCGCTTCGTGCCACGAAACGTGTGGTGCGAAAGGCATGCCAATATAGGCCTGGGGACGCACATGATTCCCGCCACAGGGGTCTTCGGAGGAGCTCCATTTGAGGCCACGAAAGGCGTGAGGGTGCGTCAAAATAGACTTGGGGACGCATGCGATTCCTGCCAGTGGGGTCTTCGGTGGCGTTCCCTATGGGGCCGCGAAACGTGTGAGGGGTGTGTCAGAGTCGGCCTGTGGATGCATGTGATTCCTGCCACTGGGGCCTTCGGTGGAGCTCACTGTGAGGCCACGAAGCGTGTGAGGGGTGTGCCAAAAATGGGCGCGGTCACGCATGCGATTCCTGCCGCTGGGGCACGATGGTGAAGGTGGCAATTACGGGCATGCAGAGGGCATAGACAGGGACGGGAGGAGGGAGGAGGGGGAGAGGAGGAGTGCGGGAACGCGGGGCTCTGCGGATTCAAAACGAGGACCCAACAACGCAGGATGGTTAGGAATTGAACCAGAGGCGTCGAGAAGTAGATAATTGCACATTGGTGGAGTGTTTTCTTGGATCGGATTCAAAGCGTCCAGCGTGCTTCGCATTATTTTCTGTCCAGCCTCGTGGTTACCCATTAAGCTCTCAGCTCCGTGCGCTTCCGCACGTCGCTGATAGTTTTGCATGAGCAGAGCTACAAGTGAATAGCGTGTATTGAACGCCCACGGTCTTTAGGCGAGCCTCGACTTCCATTCGGTACGTCCTCCAATCTGGAGTGTTTTCCCTCAATTCCGGAGGTCCCTGCAGGTTTGGGGTCCAACGCCGCCCAGACCTTGCCTGTCTGGGAGGGAGCCCGTGGCCACCGCCCCAGAGAGAGCGAGCGAGAGGGAGACGGCCAGGACACGACTTCGTACACTGCACCAAGGACGGCTCGCCAGCGGCCGCAATAAGGAAGGCAGGACGGCACGCCTGCGCAGGATCAAGAGCGTCCGCGACTCGGTTCGGTCGGCCGTGGTGCAGTCGGTCGCGTTCGGCCGGGTCGGTTCGGTCGGCTGTCGCGTCCCTGCGTCCTCTGAGGCCGTTCTGCCTGTCGGTCGGGTTCGGTTGCGCTGTCGCTTCGGTCGGTTTTCGGCTCTGCTGTCGCCGTGGGCGTCTGTGAGGATCACGAAGGGCTCAGATAGAGATGAATCGCTCCCGAGCGTCCTGGAAGGCTCTGGGAGCGCTCTGCCATTGTGGCTGTGCCCGATCCATCTTGTCTTGCGGACCCGCTCGCTCTCAACGATCCCGGGCTGCCTTCACCTTGCTGTAGTCCCATAGCGAAGCGCAACCGCGCAGGAGGTTGAGTCTCCAGAGGCCCCCAGACGTCCCCAGAGGCCTCCAGAGGCCTCTGGCCTCTGGAGGCATCGGAGGGAAAGGGCCAAAAACATGCCAAACCTTGATCCTCGTCGCGTGTCGTCGTTGTGGTCGTCGTCGTCCGTCGTCCGTCGTCGTCGGTCGTCTGGCACTCCACGCAGGGATTCATGTGATTTGTGCCTCGAGTGATCAGCAGCTTGACTGTTCGTACTGGAGAGCAGCAGGAGAGACGACTTATCGTGAGCATTCCTTGCGTGGCACATCTCGTGCTCCTCTGCTTGTTCCTTCGGTTTCGCCTCGTGCTTGCCATGGCGAGGAGTGTTGAGTCGACGACGCCTCCGCCCCCGACGGTGTCAGTGACGTCGCCAGCCCCGTCCACCACGGCTGTTGAGCTTCTGACCACGTACGGCGGTTCGAGGACCCGATGGAAGGCAGGAGCAGGCATTGAGGCGTGCAACAAGGCGGCATAAGGCAGCTTGAGAGGAGAAGAGAAGCAAGCAGGCAAATGGAAATAAAGAGAGACAGGGACAAGCAGGAATAGACAAAAGCAGACAGCCACGGACAGGCACAGCTGGACATTGACGCATTGATGAGCAAGGTCGGCAGGCG